ATGTGTGTGTGTGTATATATGTGTATACAGGTTGTTTCAAGTCTTCATGTCGTTGCAGTCTCCCATCCTGAGCCAACGCAGAGGAGACAGTGGAAAGGAAAACGTCCCTCAATAGGAAGAAGTGTCCAACAGAACCAGGCTCAGGACGAGCAGCCGTCTGCTTCAACCTGTGGCCCAGAGACAACTTTACACGCATGCGACGGTAGTTTGGATCATAGAACAAGAACACTGAGTTTCTGAGTGGCTGACAGACGAGATGCGTTCAAGAACAACGTGATGATGTTCGGTCCAAACGCAACACTTGTAAATGTCCTGAAATGTCTCTAAATAAATGGACGACGACTAAAACAAGTGTGAGAGGTCAAAGTGCTGAGAGCTAATGATCCCAGATGTTGGTGCACACGTACACAGAAGATCTTCATTGAAACATGTCATTAATTTGCAGCCAGGCCCAGATGTTGTCCTACAGAGACCTGGACGACAGTCCAGATGTGTTTTACAACGATCTGGATCCTTCAAACTACAGCTAATGTCAACGTCATGCATCTGTCATGGATCAGTGAGCGACTTGTCTGCAGCCTGTTCTTACAGAACATCTGGATGTGACATGGCCCAGTGGTCTTCTCACAGCTCCACCTGTAACAGGGACCAGCCTCTGCTGGTCCTACACGACCTGTGGCCAGACCTGATGAGCTCCAAGCAGCTCGGGGTCACCTCATACTGAACGTGTTGTTGCTCGAACATCATGAATGGTTTCAAAAGAACCTTAAATCATCTAGAAACACGAAGATTCAACTGAACGGACGAGTCGTCTTCTTCAGACGACTGGAATGACTCGTGTTCCTGTCTCTTTGGGTTTTTACAGATTCTGACCCGTCATGTCTGTGGACCCCAGGAACAACCGGGGATTGAACCCATGACCTTCTTGCTGTGAGGCAGCAGTGTAACCACTGAGCCACCGTGCTGTAATGCCTGTGGAGCCCAGGAACAACCGTGCCTCCTTAGACTAAAAGCTAAAGCTGAACGTAACGAGATGATCATCTCCTGCACGAATGGTGGCGGGTGATATACTCAAATAATGCTAGGCCTTTAATTTCTACCCATTTCTTCAACCATCGAGGAGTTGGAGCAAAAATAAAATTTTGTTAGAAAGGTCGTGCAGCGATGAAGTGTCTGGAGCACAAACGATGAACCTGATGTGTCTAAACGCAGGAACTTTGGCTGACTGCGTAATTACAGCTGAAGTCAAAGCTACAAGGAAATGTCTCCTGGTCCGGTGAAACCCTGAGGACCCGTGTGGACCTGCTTCTGTGGGCGATCTTACTGCAGTACCTGGCTGGGAGTCTCTCCGAGGGTTTCCTGAGGGCCTGCTCCTCCTGGCTCAGCTCGGGCTTCAGGGTGAGCTGCAAGCTTTCAGCAGACGTCAGCACCGTCCTCATGGCTCGCACTGCCTCCGAACGCAACCCAGCTCCAATCATCACGACCTCCTTCAGGTCCTCTCAGCTGGGGGCGAATCCTTCTGCTGATCACCGCTGTCTGAGCCGGGTCCTGAGGAAACACCACGGTCGGAGCAGAGTCC